CGTTGCCCCACACTAGGATTTTCTCCTGTGTCGTGGGTGCGTTTACAAACATACAAGTTCACATACACAATGACACCCAGACCCGAAACAACAATTTGTGGATCACACAAAGTGTTGTTCCGTGCGGGAATCGAACCCGCGACACGTTGCACGGCAGCCGGTTGCCCAGTCACCGCACCAACCGTGCAGTCAAACTTACTGACTAAATACCACCCCGTTCCTACTCCTGCACTTCGAGCCGGAGCCCCGGTAACCCGTTAAGTGTTCCGCGGCTCCGCATCGGCATCAGCCCTACTGAGCCCCATCTGTGATGGTCTGATGGCTCTTTGAGGCGTGCGCGGAATGCGACGTGCGATTCATAAAGGCAAAACATCTTTACAACCGCGATATCATTGTTGTAACATCCGATAAAAAATCGGTATTCTTTAATTAAACTGTCAAATACCAAGCGGTCACCGGTGACCGCAACCTATTGTTCTATAATTGTGTCTGCAAAACCGGTACTCGACGAGTTAAAACGACGCGATGTTAGCTCTGGTTCTGGTCGGGCGGCGAGGTACCCGTGCTCGCCGTCCCCAGGCCAGTGCTTACGGTGGCCGGTGATGTATGTATGTATAGTTACATGTTGCGAAGAACCTAACGGGTTACCGGGGCTCCGGCTCGACGCGCAGGAGAAGGAACGGGGTGGTTCTTAGTCAGTAAGAGTCTGACACTCCCTCCCGCCTCACCCAGGCGGGAGCAGTCATTCGATGATTTTCCCCCTTAAAAAAAATGTATAGTTACATTGCTGCTTATCTCTCGCATGTTGCGACAGTGTGATGATGTAGTGGTTACTAATTAACTATTTACTTGTAAATTGTTGTTAATTAAATTAATTTGATTGTAAACACATTTTGCGGTCATGTAGCGGCGTGTGTCACTGATAGCCCTTATAGTTGAGAACTAGGAAATGTAACTTCTTGCTTGTTACCCAAAAGGGATAAGACAGAAGTGTACTTTAATTGAGATGACCTTTTATCACCGAAGGGGTAGACAGAGGTGCACAGTACGACACTTAATGCCACTGTACAATGTAACACCCACTTTGTGTGATCCACAGATTGTAGTTCCGTGTCTGTGTGTGTACGTGAACTTGTATGTTTGTAAACGTACACACGATGACACGACACAAGGGACAATCCTAGTGTAGGGCAATGCATTATATAAAAAAAATGTTAGGACAATATGAATGTTTGTGTGTATGTTTGTATGTTTGTACTCTATGACGTCACAACGGCTGGAGGGATCGGGATGGAATTTGGAACCGGGGTAGATTATGGTCTGGAACACTTTTTATTACCCGGAAATGTGAGCGAACCCACTGGCAGAAGCTAGTTATTTAGTTAGTTATTTTTTATTAATTTATTACTTAACCATAGAATAATATTCTGTTTTTATCTTCCATCCGCAGGTACCAAGGTTCGGTTCTCGTGTTGACATTCTTCACGTACATGACATACCACTTGACACGCAAACCGATATCAGTAGTGAAGAGTGTGTTACATCAGAACTGCTCAGCGTTAGTGCCTCCCCCGGGAACCGATCCCAATGACGATCAGTGGTGTAACTGGGCGCCGTTTAGTAAGTATTTAACTAACTTCATGGTATTTTGTGGTTTACGAGGTAGGTAACTTGACTAATTTCGAACTCGTTCGGGGCCTGTAGTCATGATAAGCTTGTGCGAAAACTGACGACCATAGTATATAGGCTCCTTACACAAATTGAATTGACGTTTAATTCCAATAAAGTTCATTTTACAATACCATTTCTATCTGAATTCAACGTCGTTGCAATATGACCTATAACACTATAGAAATAAAGTTTTACTTTACATGTTTCTACTTCCAATTTCTACATCACTTTAATTCATTGAAAAATGAACTGTAACACTAAAGAAATAGAGTTGTATGTTGTACATATTGTATCCAGTTCCAGCATCTATATCACTTTCATTCATTGTAAAATGACCCATAATGGTATAGTAATAGAGTTGTATGTTGCACGTTACAGACACGGCGGACGCGAACACGTTGCTGGGCACGTTGGACTCAGCGTTCCTGTTCTCCTACGCGGGCGCCATGTTTGTTTCAGGTAAACTAGAACAATTATTTATATTGTACTAACTACTCCCGCTACTCGGCTCCTATCGATCGTAGCGTGATGTTTCATAGCCTATAGCCTTCCTCGATAAATAGAGGACTATCTAACAGGAAAACAATAGGGTAGATGAAGAAACGGGGGAAACTATTGCCATTTAAATAGGGTAGATGCCTAATTTTTATCTTAATGTCCGTCTGGTAGATTATATAAAAACATTAGACTCGTATTTTTTATTTTCTTACAGAAACGAATACTTTCGACGATATATTGATTTGAAATGTCGCATGACGTCACTTTTGAGTACGATTTATACTCTAAGATGACGTAGCTACCTCCAACTCCTAAACTTTGATTCGTTTTATCCGAGTATTGTTTTATTATACGACTCTTTGACTGCATTCAGGTGTTGCATTGTTCTCACACAATCGAACCAACAAGACTATGTAACTAGAGAATTGTATTGTGAACCTGATTGAAAAAGAGTAACCTATGGAGTTACTTGCTCGTTCTTCTCCATAGGAATTTACACCTTGGAATGAGCAAATAGCTTCACTTCAAAATTTTTGTTGTTGACGTTCAAAAGTGCCTTCCTGGTCTAAATGAAATAAATATTTTGACTTAAAAAAAAGATATGTGTCTAATATTTTTTCATTACCTAACTGACGAACTAATTAGATTTTTAATTTTCCCTCTTATTAAAATGGGACCATTAGTTCCTGAGATTAGCCCAGTCAAACATACAAACTAAAGTCTGTTAGTTTTTTTTAATGGGGTAATCTACGGAACTGGTGGTTTTTTCTATGGCATAAGCCGGTAAACGAGCATACGGATCACCTGATGGTAAGCAATCGGCGTCGCCCATGGACACCTGGAACACTAGAGGCGTTACAAGTGCGTTACCAGCTTTTTGAGGATTAAGGAGTTTGAGGATCGTTGGGGATTCAGGGATTGGGGAGATTGGGGAAGGGGAGGGTAATTGGGCCTCCGGTAACCTCACTCACACGACGAAACACAACGCAAGCGTTGCTACACATCGGTTTTCTGCTCGTTGGTGTATCACTCCGGTCGAGCCGGCCCAGCAGTGCCGAAGCATGGCTCTCCCACACTTAATATCCAAATAGAATAATTATTTTTGTATTGGATAGTCCTAGCTAAGCAAGCAATACAATGCTTAATTTTCAAAAGTTAATTGCCATTGCATAGTCCATGCACATTATAAGGAGGTAAACATTGTACGTAGCTTATAGAACAGCTGTAGCGACGTTTGTCACCAACCAAACGTCGAACCCATGACCTTGAGCACACGAGCACACAATGCTAATGACGACCGATAAACTAATTAGCAAATATTTTTCATTAATACTAATTTGAATATATCGGTGATTAAAGTGATAGATAGTTTGTTAATGGGTTCGATTCTTGGTAGAGATACTAGGTTTTTCTCGCCCTTTGTTGGTGTAGGTTTTAGTATTTATGTTCAACATGATCATCAACAGCCTATAATGGCCACTGCTGAGCAAAGACGCTTCTCACACAGAGAAGGTTTGAGCATTAATCACCACGCTTGCTCAATGCGGGTTGGCGATTTCAAACTTATAATTACAAATTATAAGCCCAGGTTTCCTCACGATGTTTTCCTTCACCGTTTGTCAGTGGTGTCTAAATAATCTTAGAAAGTACATATAACTCGGAAAAATGTCACATTGGTGGGTTGCCGTTGGTGGGTTTCGAACCCGCCCCCTCATGCATGAGAAGCGGGCGTCTTAAACCTCCGGGCCAACACGACATTAGTCTATATTTATATTTATTTTAATGTTCCTATTTTTTCTTTAACGTTTTTTTATAGTGTTTATGAATCACCAATCCATGGACACCCGAAACACCAGATGTATTACAAATCTGTTACCGGCCTTTAGGGGGTTAGGAATTTGAGGATTGTTAGGAATTCGGGGATTGGAGAGAGAATTGGACATCCGGTAACCTCACTGTCACGACGAAACACAAGGCAAGCGTTATTCCACTACGGTTTTCTGCTCGGCCGTGGTATCACATGATCATAATGTCTAGAAACAAAGTACCCATTTAATAGTGGCTGCATTTCTATGCCATATTTACGCATTGTTGTCACAACAGTAAAGTAGCCAAAGTAATACGGGGTTTTTAAAAAAAATCTCAGCGGTAGCACGGAGTCTGGAAATGTGCCCGGTATTTGGCAATACACTCACCCCCTATTACATGGGAATCATTTATTTATTTATTTACAAGGACAACAAACAGCAGTATATTAAATGTAACACGAGTGACTAAAATAATAGATTTAACAAATACACTCCTCACGACGTTGCCACAGATTACCAACTCATTAGACTCATAAATAGTGAAAAGTGGGTGTTACTTCTGCACCTAAGCCTACCCCTTCGGGGATAAAAGGCGCGATGTTATGTATGTCACACCACTCAAATACTGCAGTATTTAATCAACCGCTGTTATCAATTACAACTGACGTCTGTTCTGTTACAAATCGATTTCGTCACGAAAATCATTCCTTGATTATATCTGGACGCATTCGTCATTGACGCCATGTTTCATTCATTCTGCCCGCATTTGTGTTACTTATCTATTGTCGCATTTTGATTGCTATCTTACTGTATATGAGTCATTTCTCAAAGTATTAATGTACTTGCTTTACGCTCGTATACTGAGAAACTAACAGGTTACCGGGGCTCCGGCTCGACGTGCAGGAGAAGGAACGGGGTGGTTTTTAGTCAGTAAGAGTCTGACACTCCCTCCCGCCTCACCCAGGCGGAAGCAGTTATTCGATGGTATTGCCCCCTTAAAAAACAACTGGAAGATTACTCAATTAAGTTGTACTGAAATATCGTTCCATCTCTGTCCTTTATAAAGAACTAGTGACCCGCCCCGGCTTCGCACGGGTGCGATATGCATGTATTATAGATATTAACCTTCCTTAAGAATCACTTTGTCTACTAAAAAACCGCATCATAATCCGTTGCGTAGTTTCAAAGATCTAAGCGTACATAGAGACAGACAGACGGCGGATAGCGACTTTGTTTTATACTAGGTAGTGATTTGTCGTGAGAGCGTCCTAAAATTGCCTCATTGGCTGAGTGGTCGCAAGTGCAACTGCCTGGCAAGGGCAAAGTTATACTGGGATTTACAAAAAGAAGGCCTAGTAGTAGCACGGAGTCTGGAATTGTGCCCGGTATAATTATATCAATAGGCTCACCCCATATTACATGGGACTCATAACATAAATAGTGAAAAGTGGGTGTTACATTGTACAGTGGTATAAGTGTCGTAATGTGCACCTCTGCGTGAGGTTATGTTATGTATGTAGCATCTTAAAATGGAATGGTGTTTGAGTATTTGAACATTACACCGGTTATGTTAAGAGTCTCATGTAATAGTGGCGTTTGTTTCCGTGCAGCGACTATTCAACCAAATCCAATGATCCTCATTCCTCATCGTCACCAACATCCGCTCCTGAACAAAGACCAAAATAATTAACTTTTTAAAAAAAATAAAACCGACTTCAAATGCGAGAACACAAAAAAAACTAAAAATTAAAAAATAATTCCTAATACCTATTACCTAATACTATAATTTTTCTAAACTATATCAAAGTAATTAAAGTTAAACCATCTAAATATCTTAAAATAGTTATACTTATATACCTACCTATTGTTTTTTGGAGTCGGTGCCAGTGCCAGCGTATTAAGTTTACCCGCGAACTAGAGACGTGCGACGCGGTGGCGGGGGACGCATGGCGCGAGGCGGGGCCGCGCGGTGCGGCGGGGGACGCGGGCGCGTGCGGTCTTGCTCGAGTAAGCGACCCGAAGGCGGGCAGACGCTTGAGGGCAGACTACGTTGACGCTCGTGTCAAAAATACTGAATTTTCGGATGCGCAATATTTCAAATTATTGCTTTCTTTTTTGTTTGTTGTATTCTATTGTAGGATTTGTAGGTATTTGTTATTCTTTGTTGGTATAGGTTTAGTTGTACCAGGCTACATACAACTTATTTCTTAATATTTTTGTTTCATTGAGTACTTTTTCTTATTTCATTAGGTTTAATATTCATTTATTACTGGCACCGACTCCAAAAAACAATAGGTAGGTATATAAGTATAACTATTTTAAGATATTTAGATGGTTTAACTTTAATTACTTTGATATAGTTTAGAAAAATTATAGTATTAGGTAATAGGTATTAGGAATTATTTTTTAATTTTTAGTTTTTTTTTGTGTTCTCGCATTTGAAGTCGGTTTTATTTTTTTTAAAAAGTTAATTATTTTATTTTAAAATTTTTAGTGTTACTTTTTTGTAGATACCCTTAGTGCATTTAATATGGGTAGGCCTACTAAACGCGCAGCCTTAATGAGATATCTCGTAACAACTAACGTTCTATTCTTGGGGGTGAAATATAAAAAATAATCGTTCAAATTCCACCCTTGACGGTTGAAATATTTTCTTCAAATTCGCATGAAACCACCCTTTTGATAATACCTATTCAACAAAAAAATAATCGTTCAAATTGGTTCATAATTGGCGGAGATATTGCGTATAAAAAATTTCATCCCCAATTTTCCACCCTTGGGGGTTGAAATATTTTCTTCAAATTCGCATGAAACCATCCTTTTGATAATACCTATTCAACAAAAAAATA